CCGCAGACTAAAAAAATAATCCGCGGATTATTTGCTACCTCCATTCCCTCACTGAGAACTACCCAGACCCGAAGCTCTGGCTGCACCCCACGGCCGGGGGGCTCACAGCTAGCAGGGGGCCCTGCCCTCCACCCCCTGCCTAGCAGTGACCATCCCCGGCTCCACACGAGTGTAGTTCTCGGTGGGTGAATTTGTCAGCCTTCCCGGTTGGGCTGCGTGGGATCAGAAGAGCTGGAAGATGCAGGGGGGGGGTCGCTTTTAGCTTTAGTGTGTTAGTCCAAAGGAGAGGGGGAAACAAATTGAGGGAAAATTTCTTAATCAATGGGTGCGACGATATGAGGGGGAAAGACCCGTAGTAGAACGAAATTCAGTCCATACCCGCACTCCTGAGGTGGTATCTCCAGTTCCTGAAGAATCCTAAAGAGATCACATCAGCAAACAAACTCCAGTGGTGGGGGAAGTCAATCCAAAATGGAGAATAATCCGCGGCGGCCTGAGGCACCCATAGCTCACACAAATTGAAAGCATCCAAATTGGAAGGACAGAGCCCAGATTTTTATTTTCTTTTCAGCACCAATTATAAATTGCTAGGGGTTTGGCTTTTTTTCAGAAAAACAAAGTTTGCATTGTGTCTCTGGGACAGATTTACAAGTGGGATGCACTTCTGGAGACAGACTAATTCGGACCCATTGTCTGTGGACATTTATACCCAGGACCAAAGACTGAAAATTCTTTATGATGAGAATTTCAATTACCCTTTTAGTTCGAGTTTTGATTTCAATTTTTTTTTTATTTTATTTTTTTAGTAAATGCACTGGCATTGGAACATAAATTTAATAGAATAATGTTTCTATACTATGCCTCACCATTGCACAATCAATTTTTTGGCATACACTGTGGTGAAGTTGGACTTGCTGCTATGGAGACTGATGTTTAAAGTTTCTAATTGTATAAACCTTTTCTATGTCTCCCACACCATGGATTTCTTATAATATTGGATATATTTTTCCTTGCTGAACTATTCTCATTTGGATTGACTCCCCCTGTTTGGATTATTTCACTGCATTATCTTTAGGACTCGTCAGGAACAGGACATTTCACCTCAGGAGTACGGGTATGTACTGAAACATTTTTTCAAATTACTAGGCCTAGCCTTGAAAAACGGAGAGGAATGCTAGAAAGGGTATTTCAGTTGAGTGAGCATCCCTGAAGCAGCAGGCAGGCAAATGTTTTTTACCGCAAGGTAACGAGGAGGAGATAGGCTTAGATGTGCAGGTCATTCCACGTGTTCATCACAACTTTGCGCATGGGGAAGCTGAGTGAGCGAGGACTCAAAAGTAATTTGGGTTTTCTTCTCCCTGGTTCTGGAAAAGCTAGGGAGGCCCTCAGGCTCTGCCTGCCCTGGATGCCTGGCTGCTCATTCAGGGGCAGGCCGAGTTTAGGAAGAGGCTGCGAGGGTTTCACTGCCAAAATGCAGAGCTTAAGAGTTAGACGGACGAGACAACTCCTCCTACAGACAGCAGGTCTGTCACTCAGCTTGCCTGCTGATGTGCTCCAGATAGGGACTTGTCGTCTTTTCCTAAAGAAAAAACAGAGTGATCTATTTTTTTGTATCTGTATAGTAGCTGGTAAGTGAGCTGTCGCCAGGGAAAACCACAGCTGAATATGAAGTATTTCAGTTCCAAGCTCTGGTAGATCATGCCTGTCAAAATACCAGTAAGAAGATACAAGAGCGAGACCTCTCAGTGAATATCAGAAGACCACTTCAGTGGTTTTACCTCAGGACATGCTTATTTACACTATTTACCACAGGGTAAACTAACAGAAGTCACTTTGACTCCATTAGTCTCAACCACAGAAGCTAGCACAACATGTGCAGAACTCACACGAGTGCTCTCCAGCACCCTGGTGAATTTGTGTCCAATTCCCATTCACCATAGCACACTCTTTGGCTTACAGCCTGCCAAGGGAGTGCCTGTGCAAGTTCCTAACTGCAGACAGCATGTCATGCACCGATTAATTTCTTCTAGGTGCTGCATGATGTGTGTTTACTTGCAGTGGTGCAAGAGCATGATAAGAGCTCAGCTTTTATCAGAACTGCTGGCATCAGAACTTATCACTCACCCCAAGCCCCCTGCCTTTTCTGCAGCCTGTGCATCACCTGTAACATGGAATCGTAGAATCCTCAGAGTTGGAAGAGACTTTTAAAGGTCGGCTAGTCCAACTCTCCTCCAGTGAACAGGGACACCAGAGATAGATCATCAGGGTTGTCAGAGCCTGATCCAGCCCATCCTTGAATGTCTCCAGGGACGGGGCTTTCAGCACGTCTCTGGGCAGCCTGTTCCAGTGCCTCACAACTCTCACTGTAAAAGACTTTTTCCTTATATCCAACCTAAATCATACTCTCTTTAATTTCCCCTCGTCCTTTGAAAGACCCTCCTGAAGAGTCTGTCTCTTTCTTTCTTGTAGCTCCCCTTTAGATACTGAAAGGTCACTACCAGGTCACCTTAGAGCCTTCTCTTCTCCAAGCTGAAAAGCCTCAGCTCTCTCAGCCTATCCTTGTAGGGAAGGTGCTCCATTCTTTGGACTACTTTTGTGACCCTCCTCCGGACAGACTCCAGCAGGTCTGTGTATTTCTTGTACTGAGGACTCCACATCTGGATGTAGTACTCCAGGTGAGGTCTCGCTAGCACAGAACAGAGGGGCAGGATCACTTCCCTCACCCTGCTGGCCGTGTTCCCTTTGATGCAGCCTAGGATCCAGTTGGTTTTCTGGGCTGCAAGAGCAGAGTTCTGGCTTGTGTCCAGCTGCCGTCCACCAGTACCCCCAAGTCCTTTATGGCAAAGCTATGCTCCATCCTTTCATCCCCCAGCTTGTACAGATAGTGGAGGTTTCCTTGCACTTGGCTTTGTTGAGCCTTAGTTCTCCTGGGCCTACTGCTCAAGCCTGTGTAGGTCCCTCTGGATGGCATCCCATCCCTTGGACGTGTCAGCTGTGCCCCATGGCTTTGTGTCATCTGCAAACTTACTGAAGTGCACTGGACCCCACTGTTGTTGTCGTTGACGAAGATCTTGGAGAGTATCTGTACCAGCACTGATCCCTGGGAAACATTGCTTATCACTGGTCTCTATGCAGACACTGTGCCATTGACAATCACTCTCTGGGTTCAATCTTGTATCCAGTTCTTCATCCATCAAGCAGTCCACTCATCAAATCCATATCTGTCCAATTTGAGGAGAAGGATGTTGTGGGATACCATATCAAAGGTCTTACTGAAGTCCAGATAGATGACATCAGCAGCTCTTACTTTGTCCACTGATGCAATGACACCATCGTTGGTGACAGATTAGGTTGGTCAAACAAGGGCAAAGATTTGCCCTTGGTGAAGCCATGCTCCTTCTCATATCACCTCCTTGTCTTCCGTGCTCCTTAGCAGAGCTTCTAGGAAGATCTCCTCCATGATTTTTCCTGGAACAGAGGTGAAACCAACAGATTGGTGGTTCTCTGGGTCATCCTTATTACACTTTTTAAAAATCAGTACGATGTTGCCTTTTTTCCAGTCACCAGGGACTTCACCTGACTGCCATGATTTTTCAAATACCATTGAGAGTGGCTTGGCGACTCCATGAGCCACTCAGAACTTGCATCTCATCAGGACCCACAGACTTGTGGATGTTCGGGTTCCTCAGGTGGTCACAAACCTGGTCTTTGCTCACAACAGGAGAGGCATTGTTTCCCCAATCCCCCCCTTCCAAACCAATTGTTTGAGGGCTGTGTGACAGGCAGTTATCAGAGAATACCAAGGCAAGAAAGTTGTTGAGTGACTCAGCCTTCTCTTTGTCTGTTGTTATCAGCTTGCCTGTGTCACTCTTGGACTTTTCTGATTAAGGTACCTATAGAAGCCTTTCTTGTTCTTCTTGGCACCCCTTGCCAAGTTTTGTTCATGTTGGGCCTTGGCTTTCCTTACCCTATCCCTACATGGCCTAACAGCTTCCTTATACTTTTCCCACAGTATTTGTCCCTGTTTCCACTGCTTGTGCATTTTCTTCTTGCTTTCCAGTTTGACCAGCAGGTCCCGTTCAGCCATACTGGTCTCTTGCCTTCCTTTTCTGACTTCATAGTGAGGGTCAACATAGGTGACCTGGATGGCCTCTCACTACATGATAACTTTCTATTTTGCTTGTTATATAAGAAGAGAGGAGGATGGGAGCGTTGTTGGATGTGTGTATAGCTATTCTTGGAGTTTTAACACCAAGCTGCAGTGAGGAACTGCTGTGAGCTCTGTGTTGTCATCAGCCCAGGTAAAAGTCTTTTAGAATAGAATAGTTGCTTTTCTTGACACAGCTCTGAGCCTTAGAAATACCAGATGTGCAAGAGTTATCCCATTACAGGAATGACTTGCCAGAATAAGGTTAAGGAAGGAGAAACCTGCAAGTTAGAGCTAGACGTTTCCTGCACCCCACCCTTGCTTCCCTTGTTGTTCTCCAAAGTTGAACAGCAGCCTCCATAGCAACAATCTGACCTACTGCCTGCGAAAGTCCGTGTTAGTAAGACTTTGTTCACTAGCAAAAAAAAAAAAGAAAAGAAAAAAATAGTGGGGCCCTATTCAATTTTTGCATTCAGTGAATCCTGCTCATTTGAACCCTTTCTCCCCACCTTCACTCCACCCCATGTGCATGGCTGGTAGCACCTGTGTGTTTTTGTCATGACTTTTGAATGAGTTCCCCCTTCATTCTTGGAGTTGTTTCTCTGAGTGCGCTCCCATGAAGTCCTCTTGCTGGCATTGCTCCTTCACTGAGTGCAGAGCTTGGCAATTAACCCTTTCTCAACCCCAGGAACTGGATTTTCCTATCCTCGCTGGAGGACGTTGATTACTACAAACACAAGTTTGTTCCAGTGCGTTGGGCAACGAGAGGTTTAATTGCTCTGGCTTGCTGCTGCTCAGCAAAGAGAAGGAGCATACCCAGACAACTTGTTTCTCCTTGCTTGTTTTTTTGCAGGTCTTCCGGCCCCGCACTCCACCAGAAGCAATTGCGCTATGTAGCCGTCTGCTGGAGTACACCCCCACTGCCCGCCTGACTCCCCTGGAGGCCTGTGCACACTCTTTCTTCGATGAACTACGGGACCCAAACGTCAAGTTACCAAACGGGCGAGAGAAACCTGCACTCTTCAATTTCACCACTCAAGGTAGCCTGCAGGCATTGAGGATCTCTGCTTTAGGGAGCGCTGGGATAAGCGTTTGCTGTGATGCGCACGTCACGCTCTCAAAAGTTAAAAAGCAAAAGGTTTATTTACATTTGCAGTTTAGTGTCTGCAGTCTAGCTGGATGTGTGTGTGTGGAATACTGTACTCGGTGACCATTTAGATTGGTATTTCCTTTTGGAGTTGTCCCTACTCCTTCATGCATGTAATGCCATGTTGAGGAGCAGTGGGTATTAAGTTTGGCAGGGAAGTTTGTAGTGTTGCTGCCTATGTTGGTTTTGGATGTGAGATAAATGCAGAAGTCTCACTGTCCTGGTTTTATGTACTGTAGAGTTTATCTGGCATCATGTCGACTCAGTAAATTAGAAACAATGACAGCAAGCTTTTTTATTTGAACTCAGTATCAAATTTTAAAACCACTTATGTGTATTTTCCTCAGAAATATAAAGCTGATACCTCTGTGGAATGGTTTTGTCTTCCAAGACAGGGAACATGAGAAATACAGCATACAAGTATCCTAGTAATTAATGTTGTAGCACTTCATTTTAATGTTAAGTGACTAGCTGCAAGTTCTTACCCTTGGAGCAAATATAGATCAGTGTGCATTTTCTGCTGGAAATCTAAAATACCTTTTGGCTCAGTTAGCATCAGTGTAGTTGTTCAAATCCTTTAGTGCGTGTGATGTCCATCTGCCGAAATGTGCCTGAGCATGAACTTGTTTTGAATGGCTGCCTTGTGGAAGGTAAATCTACTACATGAATGCAAGGGTTTAAAAAAGGATTGGAAAGATCTGCAGTGAGTACTTTAAAAATCCTTAGAGAAAAAAATAAATGCTTGTATTGGGAATTTGTCCCTGGTTTCCCCTAGGCAGTGTGGAAGCTGCTGAGTAATTTAAGCCTCAAGTAAACTTCTCCTTTGCCATCCTAGAGAGCTGATGTGCTCTCACTGTGACTCTTGGAAATGGCAGGAAAAATTGCTTTGTGGGAAAAGGAAGCCTTAAGATTCAAAAAAGCAGTTTTCTGTCTCTGACACGTGCCAGTGTTAGCATCTAGAAAGAGAATGCAGGTGGGAGGTTGGTCATTAATATGTTTCCAGATGAGTTGTGTTGCATGTCACAAGCCAAAAAAAAAAAAAGAAAAAGCAGAATTTTAAGAATAAGTAAGTACAGCTTATCTCAGTGATTTTAAGACCTTCATTAATAATTATGCAGTAATAGGTCCTGTCTAGCAGCAGTACTGATTGTGACCTGAGGATACACAAAGAGCTTCTGCTGCTCCTGTGGCACTGTGTTGTCATCAGTCTTTAGCTGGACTGCACAATGGCTCCATCAGAGTGACTAATCCAAAGCAGGCATCACATCTGGGAAACAGATCAGGACTTTGGAAATCAGATATGCTGATAACTTATGTCATCTCTGGTAATTCTGAAAGTAGTGAAAGGTATCCTTTTGTTTTCTATGACATTTGTTTTCAACAGACAGTATTAAATTTTAAAGAAAGTGTTTTATTTGGCTATGGCCAGTTGACTGAAACCTGTGGAGTAGGAGGTGGAAAAGGCTTGGAAACAAAGCTCTTAGAAATAACAGTATAGATCTGATGGTTACTGTACTGAATTGATTTTCAGAAAGAACCTAGGTGTCATACCAAATCTGCTGATCTAGGCAGTGGTCTAGAAAAAAGCAGGGAGTGTATATGGAGATAAAGAGTATGATCTTTGGCTGCCAGCAGTGGTTCTGGGGTGCATACATGCCTGCTGTAGGGATGGGAGCTGTTAAGAGAGCTTTATCTTACTGCCTTGGCTCTACATTTTTCTTAGTATAAAACCAAATAATATATGCGAATTAGTACTTAAGCAATTATCATGCCCAGGGAAGCATCTGTAGTAGCCAGTGCTGCAGTTCAGTGACTCCTGGACCTGCAAGGCAGAAAGCTGAAAGCTTTTTTTTTTCTCTTAGAAAATGAATTTTCAAAACCTGAAATGACTTACCATTTACCACATTTCTTACAGCATCTCAGTGATTCTGCTGGGTCACAAATGTTACTGTCTGTCCATATAAGTTACCCATTGAGGACTGCTATGATTCAGCACTTAGAAGTGGCTGCCATTGCTGCTTGTTGGCAAGCACTTTTACGCCTAGAGTTTTTTAATCAGAAAAAAATGACTTGTGACCTCTAATTATAAAAAGGGCTTTTACTTTTTCTTAAAAAATAAAATATTTTTTTTTAAAAAAGGCTCAATTTCCATCCAGACTGTCTCAGCATGTCTGGAAATCCTTAGTGTGACCATTTGAGTGCCACCTAGAAATATTTCAGTTCAGGATATGCTCAGTGTTGAGGTACATAGAGGAGTATGAAACTTGTGTTGATTCCAGTGCTCTTCTGCTCTGAAGAGAAACTGGCACATAAACTTGTTACACAGAAAGTTTGTTACTTGTTTACTTGTCTGACCAAGTAAAAGATACAAAATTAGGTTCTGCCAGGCTTTCTTGGAGCATTGAAATAGGAAACGGCTCAGTGCTCTCAGTATCATCATTTCCCAGTGCAAAGCATTTCATTGTGTTTGGGGAATGGAGATAATCTGGTGTTCTGGTAAAACTGGATATTTTTATTCTAGTTCCTTATTGGAGATGTAGAGTGGCTGTAGGTATCAAAATTTGATCAGGAGAAGGAGAGGTATTTCCCGAGCTGATGTGAACCAAAATTGGCTCTCATAAATTATTTGGTATCACTGCTCTGTTCACATAATTATATTGAAATCTTTATCTGCATTGCCTTGATCACAATAGCTGCTTGCAGCATTACTGGTTGAAATTACCACAACCCTGAACTGCAAGTTTGGTTTAGATAAGCATGCTACAATTCCAGGGCTTGTCCATAGATTGTGATGGAAGTCGCTGAGAACAGACTGTCAGAACCACAGCTCAGACCTTTTGTTCTGCATTGATGTGCCTCATTCTCACAGATATGAAAGCCACAAAGATACAGCAGAACAAAAATTCAAATTCTGAAGCAAAGTTATTGTTAAACTCCAGCCAGCAAGTTGAATTTGCTTTGATTGTTTGCTGTCTAAATTGGCACACTTCTCCTGGCACACTTCTCCTCAAAGTGGAGTACCAAGACACTTGAAGCATGCTGAACTTAAGAAACTTCATACCAGTTAGGACAGCATGAGGTTTCTGTGGAAGTGAACAGTTTCAGCCTTGTAGTGTCTGCTAGTGATCTTTGAGGTAGCTCCAGAAAAACACTTGTGCAACAACAACAAAAAAGTAGTATGCTCACCATAGCTGGTGCTGTGAAAGGACATATTCTGGCAATATTACAAGCAAGTGTGGGAGGAATCATCCTGGGTCTGAAGTGCCATTGCAGCAGTGTTTTTCTGCCCGGGTCAGCTGGCTCTTTGGCCCTAGGATTCTGGCTACGGAGATGCTGTCAGAGGATAGTTGCATCCTTGAGGCACTGCTTAGCTCCGAAAGGTAGCAAATGTCATTCAATTTCCTTGGCACTTTGTCACTGTTTCCGTTGGGCAGCAGTCCCTTACTACTGCCAGTGATGAGCAGGAAGGAGTGCGTGGGTAACAGAAACTTTAAAAAATAATGAAGAGAATGGCAGATTCCCTGTAATAACAGATTTGAGAAACAACTCTGGAGAAGATATTCAAGTAGCAAGATTTTCTTCCACAAAGCAGCTAATATAGCCAGTACAGGATTAAACTATAGGTTTATCACCTTGTTCAGCTTTGATTTTGAAGGATTCGTGTTTCCTCAGTTTATTTTTTCATAAAAATGAGACTTATGAATTCTGAATTATATTATGAATATGTGAATTCTACATTATTCCCATAGGAGTTTGAGGGTTTGTATTTATTTAAATGTTTTGATTATTGAAGCTTTATGGAAAGACCAGGTCCAGAATGTAATGTTACAGTGAATAGATTTGATAGGTTGCAGGTAATGTAGCAATTTGTTTGGTTCCAGTCTGGAACTCGAATTCTGAAGTGCTTAAATACAGTATCAAAATACGCTTTAGTAAGAGGCTTATGAACAAGTGAGAGTTGTCTACATCTTCCCTTCCTAGCAGAATATGAACTTAAAAGAGAAAAAATCATCAAATAGACCACTGGTCTGTTTAGGCTCTAAATTTAAAGCTTGTGTTAAGAGAAATGGTCTCTTAAAAACAAACTCCATTAATGTAAGACTGCGTACAAAAGCCCTTTGAGCCCCAAAAGTCATAAGTCATCCTTGTATGGGGTGACTGTTCACATCCTCCCCACCGGATGCTGCTTTCTCAAGAGACAGTCACTCCTGATGCTGAGGCAGACAGGACCTGTCTTGTCTTGGCTCCATACCACCTCCTGTGAGGCATTCAGTTCTCCTGGGAGGATGTCAGAAGATTGTCAGTTGTTGGCAGCCTGTTGCCCTGCACCCTCCCACAGTAGTGGTTTTAAGATGCCTATTTCTCATTCTGATGCACACTGAAGCTATATTGGATTTGGAGCCTAAAAGCCATGTTTTTTTCCTTAGTTAATGGCTGTGTCATTTTGTTGTCCATTTAAATTACCCAGCAAAGCCATTCCCTTTGCCTGTCCCTGTACTTTTAGGGGACATGTCACCTCTTCTTGACCACGCTCAAAGAGGCTGCCTTAAGATTGGGTCTTGGGTTCCCAGGTCCTTGAGAAATGAAGCTTGAGCGAGCCAAAGAACTGAACCCCCGGAGCTCTTGGAGCCACTGTGACAGCTGCTTGTTGCTGAGCCAGTGCCCCAAGCAGCATGACTGCTATCAGCATTCAGACTGATTGCAAGTGGGTTTGTGAAGGGAATCCTTCCAGTTCTCAAAAGGCAATACATCATCAGGCTTTTGATAAACAACAAGCTTGACCAGTTGTTTGCTAACTCACAAGCCACTGTCTTTCTCTAGAAAATAATTCCCTGACACTCGTACCACCCTGGTAGTCCTGTCAGCCTTGCTACAGGGATGGCCGTGTTGAATATTGCCGTGGTTTCCCCCTGCTGGTCAGCCAAGAGGAGAAGCTTAGTGTGGCCTTTGGTTGTGATGGGCACACGTTTGCCCGCAGCTTACCCATTACAGGACAACCCAATGAGCTGCGCTGCATGCGGGGCTCTTGCTGAATGACAAGCTAACTCTGTTTGTTCCACCTCCCCTCCAGAACTGTCAAGTAACCCATCTCTGGCTTCGATCCTCATCCCTGCTCATGCTCGGAACCAAGCAGCTGCTTCAACCCCTACAAACGCTACAGCAGCCTCAGGTGAGAACACGCGCCCGCCTGCCTCCCCTGCTCCGTGGCACCATCCTCTGTGGAGGCCCAGGGTGAGCAGGAAGGGATGGACAGGCTTCTCCAGCCCTGCCTTCTGCTCGGTCTCTGCTCATGGTCACCTGGATGTTGCTGTGGTTGCTGATCCATATCCTAACCTGGGCCACCTATATGTTTATTCATGCCTCTTGCCCAGGCTTGCACTATAAAAGAATAGTTATCTCCCCTGGTTTTTACTTTTTTTTTTACACACTTTTATTTTATTTTGTATTGTTTCACACCTAAATTGTGAGCTTTTGGCCTCTCCAAAGTTAATACTGGCTTTGAGCATGATGTCTAGGAGAAGGAGTGGCTAGCTTAGTAGACGTGGTAGAGTATCCATGCTCTTCTGCAGAGCATGGATAGAGGATTTTCCCCACTAGGAAAGGCAGAAGCTTACAAAAGTCAGGATAGAGACTTGGGTCACCTTGCTCACTGCCTCTTCTCTGTAGCTGCTGTTGCTTCTTATTGAGTTTCCTTATGTTATCTTTGAGCACTTTGGGTTTTGGCCAGCACTGAGCAACTTTCTTTGTTCTGTCTCACTCTCACGTTTCTGTCAGAAACCCTTTAAAAGCTCACTGTTGGTCTGTAGCCACTCCAGTTTGTATTACGTTTCCAACGAAACCTGAAAAGCTGAGTAATGTCAGTTGGGAGACTCCCAAAGCAAATCCCAGGTGCTGCCGGATGTGGCAGTGGTGATTCACACGTGGCACTGCGTCAGCCCTGAGTCAGCATGCCAGCAGGCAAGCTCACTGCGCTTGTGCAACCCGAGGCAGGCTGCAAGATGATGGGTGTGCTTGCATGTGTGTCTCTTGAGCGTGTCAGGCCCATTTGAGAAGGGCAGGTACCCGGTTTCAGGTGCTTACTCAGTTGTGAAGGAAGACGTCTGAAAGTTGATGTTCCAGTTACTTCAATTTTGATGTGCTTGGTCCAGCCACTGCCATACGGAAAGCATTTTCGTGGTCTCTTTGAGACAATTGGAACTGAGTTGTAAGATCAGACTTCTCTCTGAAACTGTGGTATCGGTTTGTAAAAGATAGAGCCTGTGTAATTTATGTGGTTTGAACTTAAGAGAAAGCAAATTTGCTCTTCTAAAATTTACTATGTTTTTTCCGTACACTTTGCAGTACTTTGCAAATAGTCATGTTCTCTGTTTCCCTTCTGTGTGCATCTGTTGCTCAGTGAGTAAGGAAAAAAACAGATAAAGTAGTAAAAGTGATAGAAGAACTGCAAAATACAGACGGGGAATTTGACTTTAAAGTCCTTCTGAAAAATCCTTTCACTTAATGTCGTTGTAATGCCTTTTTGAGGAGCTGCTCTCTTTGCTAAGATTCAGCAGTCTTGTGGAGTGATCTAGGTTAAAAAAAAAAAACAAAACCTGTTTTCACCCAGTAATTCTGTTCCAGAACGCAGAAGGGAAAAAATGCATTAGGCTGAATGCTAGAAGTGTCCTAACTGTGAAAGTATACTGAAAGGAAAGAAAAAAACCCACCCATCTTATTGATGTCAACATGTGTAAGCCTCCTGTTCACAAGCAGTACTCACAGTTGGAACAGGACATCCTACTCTTAGTTCACTAGAAAATAGCCTTGCAACTTGGAAAGAGACTGTGAAATTAATTAAGGATTGAGCAACTTGTAGTGTTGTGTTTCTGCTGCACAGCTGTTTGTAGTTCCATGCTTCTCCGGGGTTCTTAGCAGGCCTTGGGAATTTCAACAGAATTACAATTTTAAGATTCGGTCCTATATGAGATGATGTTAATCTGTTTTGCTTTGCATGCTGATGCCTCACTGAGCAAAAACTTTAAATTGAAAGAGTCCCTTTTCCCCTCCCCCTGCATATTCCAGTTCATAGCTGCTAAAGCAGCTTGGGAGCAGCTCTCCCACCTGACCCAGGGCAGCCTGAGAGGCAGGAGGCTGTTCTGCAAAACGTGAAACTGTGTGGAAAAAACAGTGCAAGTTCAGAAACTGTTTTGAGCAGGGAAGAGAACAAATCAAGTTATATGTAACCACAATCTATTAATAAACTGATAGTTTGTCTCCTGTCAGCAAGCAGAACTGATACTGAAGTTCTTGTGTCCAGTGCTGTGCCCAACATAGCTGCTTACAGGTATTCAGGCACTGAAATGGAGTGAACATCCAGCTGGGTTTCTTTTACCTGCTCACAGTCATTTTCATAGCTGTTATGTAGCAGAGACTGTGACACGAGTCTCAATTTTTTCATAAGGTGCAAAGCACTGCTTTGTATTGCACACATTTTATATTATTACAAATTTTCCAAAATTGTGTTCATTAAATGATAGTTGCCAAGTAGTGATTTCAGTAGCCCAATGCAACAGCAGCTTTGGGATCATTATATGAAGTGCGGGGGAATTTGAGGTAACTTTTGTTGTGACTTTGGTTGCAGATTTCCTCTCAAGGTTTAAAGCCAGGCTCCCTGTACTGATGGAACCCTGTTTTGCTATGGGAGCACGAAGCCTTGCTGCTCTGGCACTGGCAAACTCTCATGAAGTTTGAGAAATCCCTTTTGACTTCTGTGGCACAAAAAGGAGTAAAGAAGTTGAAAGTGGTTGGCCCTGCTGGAAATGGTGTGCTGGCTTTCTGTGAGTCACACTGATGGTTGATAAAAAGGCCAGTGCAGCTTTGTACACGTGGATGCTGACTTGATCAGTCTGGAGGAGGAGGACAATTCACAGCCATGCTGAGCAGTTTACCTGTTTATGTGACTGCATTTTTCTTCCTGGCTTAGTTGCAGCAGCAGTTACCTCTCTGTTAGCAGTGCTAGGATGGGAAGGGTGTAATTGCTATCTGCAGGGAGCTGTGCCAGCTGGGATACTGGGGTTGTCGTCTTAGGCATCCTGCTGTGCTGATCCTATGTAATCCCAAACGAGATGGTGTGCCTGAACTTTCAGCAACAAAACAGATTAGAGCTAGTCTCACCTGCCAGTGTTGGGTAGTTGAAAAGGCCACAGTACTCCAGTGAAATAAGATTTAGTGCAAGTGGGATGTTTCCATTGAAAGAATTTTGTACAGCCCTACTTCCTTCGACAGAAAAGGGGCAGGCAGTTTTCATGCATCCATGGCAGCTACAGGAGAGCAATTTGTCCATGTCAGTCCTACCAGTTTTGCACTGAGCCCAGCATTTCCTCTTCAGTAGACACTGCAGGAAAAATGAGACCTTCTCATCCTTCCACTCCTCTCCTCTGTTGCCCTGTGTGGACTCGCAGATGCATTTCTGTTTCTCTCTTTGTAGAAGAGCAGTGCTGTGTGTCAGTGCTCAAATCCAGCCAGCTAATGCTGTCATTAGTGTTGATGGTTTTTTTTCAAACTGAGTTGATGGCTCTGTCTTTGAACTGCAGCCCAATCTTTTCTTTCTGGGAGGTTTCTAGGGAGCACCACGTACCTTCTGAGAGAGTAAAGGTATTCCTCACAGGCTGCAGCTGAACTGGCAGAGAATATATTGATGAGAGATGACTTTCTCCCTCTGTTTATAAGAAGCTCAGAAGTGGCTGACACTTCACCCTGCTGTGGTTTCCTTGCCACGCACAGAGGTGTCAGATGGGTGGGTCACAGCAGAGCATGCCCCAACCTCAAGCCACAGGCTGCTGCACTCACCTGCCCCGTGCTAGAGAGCTCCGTAGCAGCTCGTAGCTTCAGTCCCTAGCACAGCTTCCACAGCAGCACAGTTGGCAAAGCAAATATTGTGCAGAGTTTAGTAATGTTACTGAAGGCATAGGTTTTCTTCTCCTGTGTCCAAGGACCAATTTCTCCTGGCAACAAGAATGCCCAGAAATTGAATTGAATGCCCAGAAACCCTCATGCTCTTGTTGTGTTCTTTTTCCTGCACTCCAGCAGAGAGGTGCTGGGGCACGCCCTGCTCCGCTCCCCAAATGCTCCATCCACAGCAGGCTGGAGAGTCACAACGCTACATTTTATTGCAGCTTCTGAGTCAGTGCAACCCTTGTCAGCCTGTGCTCTGTCCCAGCCTGGGTGGGGTGTTACACAGTGTTGTGAAAAGCCCCATGTAAATGGTCCGGGGCTGCATCACTTTATTTCCTTCTGACCGTATGCTGCATATGTTTCTCAGAAACTCCCCTACTAGCGTGATGATAAGAGGAGCATGTGTTACATGTTACATGAAGTAGCTCCATCCCTTCCTCTTTCTTCTTTATCTCTGCTCAGTAGCAGTGAAATAATAATGGTTTCAGCCTCTGTTGTCTTCAGGAGTGGGAGATCAAAAAACATGTTTTATTTCAGCAAATGAATCACGCACACTCTTTGTTCTTGCACAGAGAAATCCTCTGCCAACAGTACAGATTCCAGCTAGAGTGTTTGCATCAGGCACAGATGTTGCATTAGCTAGGGTTTATCTCTACCTGCACATCAGGCACAGTTTGAGGCCTGACTCAGCCAGAAGCTGAGAGTCAGAGTTTCCACTTCAGATTTCCTTGGTCATCATTGGTTCGCAAGCACATGTGTTTTGGGAGCTGCTCCTTGAGAGCAGTTCCCCACCTAGGTTGATGTCTCTCACGTGCTAGCTTCCCAGGTAACACTGCTGCTGTTGGTACATTACTGTGGTGCTTTGAGCTTCTTTTCTCATGGTGGTTGTTCGTTCAGGAGGGAGAGCTTTGGGTCACTTCAGGGTAGGGGGAAAAGGAGTGGGAGACTTTCCCAGCATAGTGCCCACAGAAGGATTTCCCTTTCTTCCTAAGCGTTCCTCACGGCATTTCCTTTTCGTACAGGCGCCACACCCTCTCTCCCTTGTCCTTTTTATTCCTCGATGCTGGTGCTGGTTTGATTGCCCCTTCTTGTTGCCATCATCTCTATGTGTTACTTAATTTGTCCCCCAACTGATGCACTCCATTTCTGAACACTCATTCACCTTGTCACCTTTTGCTCATGGCTGCACTTCAACTATGGTCGGGTTGAAGTGGCCGGACAGCAGATAGGCTGCATTAGCAGCATCCCACTGCCATGCCTCACCAATGTTTCTCTGCTGGAGAAGCGTTGCTGCACCCCACCACCTCAACTTGTATTTTGTCCTGTTATTTCTGCCGGTCTTGCTGTCCTTCATTGGTTGTTAAATTTGCTCTGTCCTCTGTGAGCCCTTTTCCTTGTCTTCTGAGTGCACTGCTTTCCCACTCTGCCCTCTTCTGTACTGAGATAAAAGTCATTTTTATTCTATTGCAGTATTGATAGCTTTGCAGCTACCCTTCAGTTCAGTGGGAGAAATGCATGATGCTCACTTTAGGAAACCTCACTTGATATCTTTTTCTACTCATGTATTTGTTGTCAAGTATTTAGTGTTTCACCTTTTGTCCTCTTTCCTTTTTTGTGGCTGTGCAGATCACATCCTGCATAGGATGGCTCCAGATGAAGTTGGTGCATTTTTTTTCCCTCCTAATTCTTCTAATATTCAGAAAGCTTATTTTTTCCAGAGAGACCACCAACTGTGTGTGGTTATTTGGCCATCGTACTGTTCTGTTGTTCTCAGTATGTTTGGATGTTTATTAGCGTCTTGGCTCTTGCTTTTCTCCTTTTCTTGCCTGATTGAAGGCCTGCCCCAGTTTGTTGGGGCGTTCTAAGAACTGAATAACAGTATTTGATGGTCTCTGGAAGAGCCTCTGCACATCAGCATGAAGACTCTCCCTGTAGCCTTTCGCTACAAGCTGACACAATTATTTTCCCTTCAAATTACATCTGAAAACACAGTTGTGGTGAAATTCCTTTTGGTATTTCTTTGCAAATTCTGAGTTTCCTTGGATGCACACTGACAGGAGCTCCCAGTCCTGCATGTTGTCTCTGTGTGGGGCTCCATCCCTCCTGGAGATGGCTTTGCTACAAGGAGGCCTAACAGCAGGAAGCATCAGCACCAGTGTGCAGCCCTGGGCAGTTGCGCTGGCTCTGGCAGTGCCAGCAAGCCTTCACAGTCAGTGTTCCTGGGTCAGCCTGAGCACGGCCTGTCCCACCAGAACAGCTGAACACAGCCAGGTGTTAGCATGCTGAAATGGTGTTGTCCCACTCAAAGCACATCTCTGTCCAGAGCAAACAGCTCTTTATAAACCCAACGAGGGCATCCTGCCCAGTGGTACGGTGGTGGGATTTGGGGCTTTCCCTGTGTGGGAAATGTCATGGCTGTTGTTGCAAATGTCTGTATTCTGGAGGTAATGCTGGTTGTTCTTTCTTTCTTTCCTTCCCTCGCCTGTCATTTGCAGATGTTAATGCAGGAGAACGAGTTCAGACCAATAGTGTAGCTACAGCATCAGCCTCCAACTCCACCTGAACCGGTACCAAGCAGCCAGCTGCACAGGAAAATCACCAGTAATTTGAGTCTTGCTCAGCAACACTGGTCACATTTGGAAAGAAAATTAAAAAGAGGAAAAAAAGCAACCAACCAACCAACCTGTTCATTTTAGTGTTCAATTTTTTATTATTATTATTGCTGTTCTTATTTAACCTTGTAAAATATCTATAAATACGAACCAGTTTCATTGTATCTCACTCTGCAGGGTGTCCGGGGCAGGGACTAGGTGGGGGGAGGAGGGAACGCGGAGCAATACAACACACCAGTGTCTCTCCCCTCAACAATCACTTCATGTTGGAAGTTTGCTGTTGTGTACTTCAGAACCAGGACTCTTGCCTCATGCCCTCTCCCACAACGGAAAGAAGGAGAAAAAAAAAAAAAAAAAAAAAAAAAAAGGCAAAACAAAAAAAGAACCCCCAAACCTCATTCTCTGCTGAAGTTCTTTTTTTTTAACCTCTTTTTTTATTTTCTTTTTAAGTGAAGTTTCGGACTTTGATGTAGTGCACAGCTTGAATTTGGTCGGGAGCTTAGCAGGGGTCATTCAACAGAGCTCAGCGTTCGGTGCCAGCGAATCCACGCCCCCGGCCGACCGACGGGCGACTGACAGCTGCCCTGGCTGGCATGGTAGGACATAGGCTGCCTGGGGGAGGGGGGAGGCTTACGTGTGTCTTAAGGCTTGAGCTGCTAGTGGCAGACTTTCCTTTCACAAATCAGTGCTAGCGATGAAGAGACCTGCAGCTTCCTTCCAAGAGGAGCCCTTTGCACGGCTCTATATAATATAATACACACACAGGCGGAGGCGAGCGGTTGTGGTTGGGGCAGCGGAGGGGATGGCGAGGGCCGGGCTGAGAGGTGCCACCGCCTGAGCGATTGTCCAGTCCCAATTGGAATAGGCTTCCCTTTCCCGAGATGTACAGGAAAAGGACACCGGGATTTATAATGTGAACTGTAACAGTCTTCTACTGGTTTATTTTGTAATATTTTTTAACTGCAGCTTTAACTCGCAGGATGCCACATTCTACGGTAGCTCTGATTTTAAATCCACGGCTAGAGTCTGTATTTAAATTTCATCTTTTTAACCTCTTTGCTTTTTTGATCTCTATTTATTGATGCGCGTTGCCACGTTGCCATTCTGTTTTTACATCGGTAGAATATTAATAAACTACACATCGGAGTGCTATCAACAGTAATTGTACCTGCTGACTTGTAGGAAAGCTGGCTACATATGAGTGTGTGTGTATATATATTATATAAATATATACATGTATACATAGAGACAACACTGTTTTTTTTATTTTGTCTACAATCTCGCAGCAGTCTGACTGAAGCGTGAGGCGGGTGCTTGTCATAGCCCAGGCTCCGGGTTTCCCCCCCGCGAGGGCGAGTGGTGCACGGTCCCACCTCTGCCCCATCCCAAGCAATATCCCCGGGGAGGACAGGTGGAGGAGCTCCCCCTTGCCTTGCGCTCCTTAGGAGCCGCCTCGGTGCTTACCGGCTCTGTCTGACCCGAGGGCCTGAGACAGGTGGTTGGTTTGGGGGCAGCGTGCAGCCCTTCGCGGGGCCTGGGAGCGGCTCCAGCACACCCGGTGGCTGCGGGGGCTCTGCTCATGGCCTTCCCTTCTGTGCATTTCACCCTGTTTGTGTGGGGCTTTTTGGAAACTCGTCTCCAAGTGCTGCCCGATCATGGTGGGAGGGAGGAGCAAACGCCCACCCTGAAACCGCTAAGCTCTTACGTTATGCCCCACATCAATTTGCTGTCGGGAAAAAAAGCATTTCCGTGCTTTACAGTGGCTGTCCCTAAATTCTGGCTGATGGTAGAGGAAGGCGCACTGCCTCTTCAGAGCTGAAGGCTTTCAAAATCCTCACGCGTGACACAATTGAAAGGGCTGAGAGCGTCCTAAGGACGGGACGCGGCTCACACAGGTAAGTGCAGGGGCTCAGCAGTGGCCCAGCCATCCATGTAGTGCAGGAGACCCACAGAGCAGGGCGGAGTGTGGATCTGCTGCAGGACGAGAGCGCTGGGCCGTGGCCTGTAGGCGCTCCTGCTTGGAGGCAGATAGATGACCGAGTCTTTAAAATGTAAAACTAACAGAGACAAAATTGCTGCTCGTTCCAGGAAATGTGGCTTTTTCTTCCTTTCTTTTCTTCTTTTTCTCCTTTCATTGAAGTCTAGCGGAGGAGCGTGAAGAGCTTTGCTCCCGTTCTGTGCCGTGTCTGTGTGCGCTGTGTGGGTGTTAGCCGGGGGTCGGGGTGCCCCGGGGAGTTTGTTTGTTTGTTTGTTCGTTTCAAGGATCATGGCAGGATCACCGACTCTTTTATACAGTTAGATCCAGGTCTTTGAATAACCTTTTTTTTGTAAATAAGAAGAAAAAAAAAAAAAACACACAGGAAAAAAAAAAAAAAAAAAAAAAAAAAAAAAAAAAAAAAAAAAGGAAACCACAAAGCTCCTCACCAAATTCAAGCTTGTACATTATTATTTTTGGTTGTTTTTAAATTTTGAGTTTTATTGTTTTGTATGTAAATATGTGGACCCAGGAACTGTTATTAATGAGCAAAAAGTTACCGTTCAGGGCAGTGATTCTGTTTAATAATCAGACAAAATGTAGACGAGCTTTTTAAAGCCATATAGTTTTAACTCTGTACAGTAGGTACCGGCCTGTATTATTGTAACAATAACTCTAGCGATGTATAGTGTATCTATATAGTTTGGAGTGCCTTCGCTTCCATGATTTTTTGAATTTTATTTCCCTTTTTTTTTTTTTTTTTTTTTTTTTTTTCCTCCTTTGTTAACAACATCCCCCACACAACCGCATCTCCGCTCCCCGCTTTTAATTCGGAGCGCTGTCAGGTTTCGGCGGTACCCCGATCCCGAGCGGAACGAAAGGAAACCCTCCTCGCCCCCATCTCACCCGAGCCACGGCTTTGCTCTGGACGTCCCCGGTTCCCCCTGCCCTCCTCCCCCCTCTAGCAGTGACCGGTTTCATTCTCCACTCTCTCGCCCGCAGCAGCCCTATGGCTGGCGGCTGCGCGCGGCTTTGCTCGTCTTCCCCCCGCCATCAATGGTGGATCCTCCGCCATCATTGATGGATCCCCCACCGTCATGGACGAAGGGCCCTCTGCCGTCAGCAGCGAAGGGACCCCGCCATCGTCGCTGGGCCCTGCGGGGGCTCTCGGAGCAGGGGGCTCCTCACCGCATCCCCTCCCCACAGTCACTTTTGGTTTCTTAAGATGGCAAGTTGAACATGTCTCTTGAGTTCTTGCGCCCAGCACGAAGGCCTTGTTTCTACAATTAGTCCGCTTGTGTTTACTACCTGGTTAGTGTTCCACCTGAGGTTGTCTTGAATATGAAAACACTTCACCCTGTACCAAACCAAAGGTTGCTGTTTTGTTTCGGAGCATCTTGCGTTCATTCCGGTGAAGCAGAGGCTGCACTTTTTCTGGTGACACAAAGGTCAGTGACGTCACGTTGCTTCTGATGGTCTGCTCAGAGCTGTTACTCTCTTCCCTCCGTCTGGGGCTCGGTTTTGACAGTGTATGGTCTCCATCTGTCCTCTTGTCAATTCCACAACGCGTAGGTCTCTGAGATGGAGCCGATGGTGATCGGGGTCCCCTCTGGGCACCCAATTAAGACACTGCTGTTCTTAATGCTAAATAACTTACCTACCTTACTAGGAAAAAACAAACAAACAAAAAAAACAAATCACAAAAGAAAATTGGCTAATCACAGATCCCTGGTCGCTTTCTCCCATTATTTTTAAGCAAAGCTTTGCTTACAGCAGTGGCAGGTGCCTATGGCGTGCCACTGGTGAGCACATCCAAGCCCCCGGCTCGTCGGTCCCCTCTCCGAAAAGCAGACAGCCTTGGACGGACGGACGGACGGCGCCAGCAGCGCGCAGAGCCTCCGCTCCGGGTCTGCCTTTCTGAGGTGGGGAGAGGTGCCTGGGTCCCAGGTTCCTCCCACAGGGCTCTTAGTCAGTTTTGTTCCTAGTTCGTTTTGTTTTGGAGCCCTGCAATAACAGCAAAACGACCAGAAAGGAAAACAGTACCTAAGGAGTTAGCTTGAGAAAAGTAGCTTCCTTGTGTTGGTCTTTCTCAATTTATTTTTAATATATATATATATATACATACATATATATATATATATATAAAATATATTTATATATATATAATTTGCTTGCCTGTAAAATTTGCGTTCATTAATGTGTTGCTGATGGATCACTTGGGCCTGTACACACCGATTAGTGTGACCACTTCCATCTTAAAAACAAATCTAAAATATATATATATATATATTAAGGACTGTGGGTTGTATACAAACTATTGCATACACTTGTGCAAATCTGTCTTGATTTAAAAGGAAAAGCAAAACCTGTATAACATTATTACTACTTGAATGCCTCTGTGACTGATTTTTTTTTTTTTTTTTTTCATTTTAAATATAAACTTTTTTTGTGGAAAGTATGCTTAATGTTTTATTATTTCCCCCGCCCCATTCCCCTTGTAAATACGTTTTGTTCTGTGTGACTCGGTTCGGAAATAGTTAACTGGTACTGTAATTTGCATTAAATAAAAAGTAGGTTAGCCTGGAAATGAAATTGAAAATTCCCAAGTGTGTGGTCTTTATTTCAAAGTCTTGCCCCCCTTCCTTCCTCCTCCTCTCCTCCTTCTCTGCCCCTTGTTCCTCACCCCCGCACCTTTTTCCACTCCGCGAGAATAGGTGGACATGAATCTTTGTAATAATAATAAAAATAAAAATAGAAAAAAAAAAATAATCATGAGAAATAAGCATGTTTTCTTAAATGAGCTGTGTTACTCCATGATACTTTTCCAAGAGGTGCCAGCTTGTCTCTGATGCCGTTTGATTTGATGGAGAGAGGAACCCTGGGACATGATATCTCAAATTGAAACCAAGCGATCTTCCTTTACTGTCCACCTATAGATACAAACTTAAGAACCTGTGTAAACTGCTGGCTTTGAATACTGCACTCATCGTTTCTTTTTTTCCTTTTCCTCATTTGGTCCCATTAGTAACGTTATTTGGTGGTGATTTGTAAAGTTTGTCAAGACCACGTCCAGTGGACCGTTCCTCCAGCAAATCAGCACGTAGCTATCTCTGAGTTGGGTTTCCGGTACTGGATAATGTGTGTATTAAACATGACATGTCTATTAGCGCAAAAGAAAAATAAATAAAAAACCAAAAAAAACGAATAAAAATTCCTTTTTTTTTTTTTTTTTTTGGGCTGGCTGACCTGGCCGAATCCATTCTGTCGCTATCCTAAAGGCTAGATGCAAGGTCATGTGACTGCTGCTTCAATAAAAACAAATTTATATTGCACGGTGGCTCCTCTGGCTTTGTTCGGGGATGTGAGTGGGGTCACAGCTCTGCAGCCGGGCTCGGGGTGCTCCCGATAGGTGGGCTGACACGGAGCCCTTTGGAGCAGGGGCAGCCACCCCAGGCCTCCAGCTGGGCTCTGCCACTGCTCCGTGGTCTGCTCTGCGCTCCAGCCTCCCAGGGTGGCAGAGAGGGTGGGGACGGGACCAAAGCACCATCCACTGTTGGCTGCAGGCACTGGGGATGCTCTGCTCTAGCAGCTCTGGATGCGGCCAGTTGTACCGCGGTGGAGTCACTGATGGAACTGCTTGGTGAGTTCTTACTGATTTGAATTTTGCCCTTCGTCACGATCCTTGGAAGTCGGGGACCTTGAGCACTTTCCTTTTTAAACACGTGGACTGACGCCTTGTGTTCTCTCTATTTCACTGCAAATGCCCTTTGATCAGGACCCTGTTTTAATTTGAAACCATTACCCCTTGTCCTATCACCGCAGACCCTGCTAAAGACTGTCCTCTTCACCCCCCTCATAACCCTCCTTTAGGTACTGAAAGGCTGCTCTCAGGTTTCCCCAGAGCCTCTCTTCTCCAGGCTGAGCAGCCCCAGCTCTCTCAGCCCATCCTCATAGGAGAAGTGTTCCATCCCTTGGATTGTTTTTGAGTCAGTCCTCTTCTGGATGCACTCCAACAGGTCCACATCCTGTCCTGAGGACTCCGCATCTGGACACAATATTTCAGGTGAGGTCTCACCAGCACAGAGTAGAGGGACAGGATCACCTCCCTCAAACTGCTGGCCACGCTTTTGATGCAGCCCAGGATCCAGTTGGCTTTCTGGGCTGGAGGGGCACATTGGTGG